AACACGCTCACAACAGCGATTTTACAAACACATGACCAGCGCCTGCTCTCACACATTGTTCTCATATACTACAGTCATAAGAAATATTGATGTAGAAAAAGAAATCACATGTGGAATTAATGCTGTATGTGATCGCTATCACAGACCAGGAAAAGGACGTTCGGGTTGTATGAGTGAGCAATAATGTGACTAATAATGAGCATGCAACTGTGACAGGACGAACATGTGTGTGTGTAAAGCATGACAGCAGCAAGAGGGTGTCACTGAAAGATGACAGCAGACGGCCAAACACATGTTGTATTTGTAGAGTGGGCTAGATCCACCTGCGTGTCCGCGTACTCGCACCCCGCATCTGTCTCCAAAGCATTGTAACGCAATGTCACTGGCAATAGAATGGTACACCCTGTTCCTGTTACCTGTGTGGTGTAGCCACAGACACACACACATAGATCGTACGCTCGGACGCGGTTTGGTACGTGGTGCAGCGACAGATTAACCTGCTGACGCATCTCCAGATCCTCTTTCAGAGACGTATCTGCAGCATTTCTCTGTCACTGCGCTGCGGACATGTGTTTTACGCGTTGCTCGGTCACAATTCCATGTCACAATTGTTCCCTTGTGTGCAGTATGATTGGACCAACATAAGCATTTGTAATGAACACAGCACAACACTGACATGAGCAGCTGCAAGGTTTGCAGGTGTACCACGTCCACCCCAAATATACATCATTTTGGCCATCTGCTACTGTCAGCGAAATGTCCAGCAATCAATATTAATTTGTATGCATATTCATCATCATTCATGGGCATTGGTCTTTCTCTATGAACCAATACACATGGGTTCAATATTTCCTGCGTCTTCGCTGTTGATTCTCCAATCTGTGTTGGTGATTTCAACGTGTGTCAAAAAGATTCTTAAGTGTAATGTGGTTGTTCTAGCTGTACACCAGCAGATTGTGCTGTTGTAGCTGGTTACACACGCAAGCAAACCAGCAGAGTTTGTAGCACTATAGTGTAGATAGAGAAAACCGAAGGATTTAAGAAGAAGAAAAGTTCAGGATGACAAGGAACAATTAAATTCCCACAAAATCCGACTTTTATGAAAGCTGTAGGTTCTCTATCAGTTGTTTTAGTTTACTTTGAGTTCTATGAGGGAAATGTCTGTGTAGCCAACGTGAATTTAGTCTGCAGTACGCGAGAATCCCTCAGCTCCAAGCTAGTAACACCCAAACCAGTTATCATAATAGATCCCACTGTATAATACAGTGGTGTGAATGACAAGAGTTTAAATATAGGAAAAAAATATCATAAACAGCTGCGGTAGTGTGTCTTGTCGAGGCAGTAGGTTTTGGTTTGCTTGCGTGTAGGTAATAACCAGCTACAACAGCACCATCTGCTGGTGTACTGCTAGAACAACCACATTACACTTACGAATCTTTTTGACACACGTTGAAATCACCAACACAGATTGGAGAATCAACAGCGAAGACGCAGGAAATATTGAACCCATGTGTATTGGTTCATAGAGAAAGACCAATGCCCATGAATGATGATGAATATGCATACAAATTAATATTGATTTCTGGACATTTCGCTGACAGTAGCAGATGGCCAAAATGATGTATACATAGTTCCCACATGACGTCACTACATACGGGGATTTGCCGACCCGGCGCCATTTGTGTTGGCATGCTGTGGGCAAAACAATAGAAAAAGAAGCTGAAACGTGTTAATGTCGTGATAAAGTTGAAAATGGGTCGTCTCCTGCTGGGTCAATGGATGTTCAAATTGTGCCGGAGGTTCCGTTAAACTTGGATTTTACAGTATACCCATCATTAGACTTCATGAATGTGAGAAGACAAAGCTTTTGTCAGAAGAACAACCACGGAGGTTATGGCTTGCGAAGATAAACAGGCAAGAAACTCCCTCAAAACACGCAAGAATATGCTCGGAGCACTTTGTGTCAGGTGCGTATCGTATCTTATAATGTGTTGACAGACGTAATTTACTCAGTACTAACTTGTGTATGCTGATATCTGGTAACTTGAGAGTTTCATTATTTAGATTACTTTATTATGAGGAGGATCGGTGTCGTGTCCGAGGCTCTCGAGGGCAACGTAAATGTATTAAATAGATAATAGTTCTATGGTGGGCTAAAACAATGTTCACAAACAGCATTGCTTCTGTAAAAAGATCTGTGTCATAAAATAAACTGCTCTTTACGCCTGGAAAAATCAGTTGCCCACCATTCACCAAAACATACGGTCAAAAACGCGGAAATAAACCATAACAGCAATCCAGAGTGTCCGTGTGGCATTAGCATTAATTAAATTAATTGTTAATATAATTAAAATAATTAAATGGAGCTCCAACTGGTATTAAATCTAAAGTTTTTGAGAAATGTTTGCATTGCTTGTTAATTTTTGCTGCATTATTTGATCAAATATGTAAAACATGTCCGTAGCACGTTAAACTGTGGTGCCATTGTATTAATATACAATTATTTGCTCAAAAGTTGCCCTTTTTTTTCCAATTTGCGTTTGAATATCTACATTTATTCTCATTCTTCTGTTTAATGGAATGCACAAACACAGCAGCGTGCCATCAAAGATGGCGTCTCCGAGGAGGTCATGTGACATTCATTGGGAACTATGTATACATAGTTCCCACAGACCAATGAATGTCACATGACCTCCTCGGAGACGCCATCTTTGATGGCACGCTGCTGTGTTTGTGCATTCCATTAAACAGAAGAATGAGAATAAATGTAGATATTCAAACGCAAATTGGAAAAAAAGGGCAACTTTTGAGCAAATAATTGTATATTAATACAATGGCACCACAGTTTAACGTGCTACGGACATGTTTTACATATTTGATCAAATTATGCAGCAAAAATTAACAAGCAATGCAAACATTTCTCAAAAACTTTATATTTAATACCAGTTGGAGCTCCATTTAATTATATTAACAATTAATTTAATTAATGCTAATGCCACACGGACACTCTGGATTGCTGTTATTGTTTATTTCCGCGTTTTTGACCGTATGTTTTGGTGAATGGTGGGCAACTGATTTTTCCAGGCGTAAAGAGCAGTTTATGTTATGACACAGATCTTTTTTACAGAAGCAATGCTGTTTGTGAACATTGTTTTAGCCCACCATAGAACTATTATTATCTATTTAATACATTTACGTTGCCCTCGAGAGCCTCGGACGCGACACCGATCCTCCTCATAATAAAGTAATCTAACGCTAAATAATGAAACTCTCAAGTTACCAGATATCAGCATACATAAGTTAGTACTGAGTAAATTACGTCTGTCAACACATTATAAGATACGATACGCACCTGACACAAAGTGCTCCGAGCATATTCTTGCGTGTTTTGAGGGAGTTTCTTGCCTGTTTATCTTCGCAAGCCATAACCTCCGTCGTTGTTCTGACAAAAGCTTAGTCTTCTCACATTCATGAAGTCTAATGATGGGTATACTGTAAAATCCAAGTTTAACGGAACCTCCGGCACGATTTGAACATCCATTGACCCAGCAGGAGATGACCATTTTCAACTTTATCACGACATTAACACGTTTCAGCTTCTTTTTCTATTGTTTTGCCCACAGAATGCCAACACAAATGGCGCCGGGTCGGCAAATCCCCGTATGTAGTGACGTCATGTAGGAACTATGTATGTTTGGGGTGGACGTGGTACACCTGCAAACCTTGCAGCTGCTCATGTCAGTGTTGTGCTGTGGTCATTACAAATGTTTATGTTCGTCCTGTCACAGTTGCATGCTCATTATTAGTCACATTATTGCTCACTCATACAACCCGAACGTCCTTTTCCTGGTCTGTGATAGCGATCACATACAGCATTAATTCCACATGTGATTTCTTTTTCTACATCAATATTTCTTATGACTGTAGTATATGAGAACAATGTGTGAGAGCAGGCGCTGGTCATGTGTTTGTAAATCGCTATTGTGAATGTGTTTATTGAATGGAAACACCACAGTCCCACCGCAGCTCCAGGTTAAACTGCGCACCTTGCAGCTGTTCAGGTCAGTGTCATGGGAAACAGTTCGCGATTCACAGACAGTATTTGGAACAGTAACAACACATCTGACTTTACGTTGATTATATGTGATAGCAATCCTTCGTCAGAAACAATACGAGAAAGGAGTCTTTATTTCGGACTTTAGAGATCCCGCAGAGGCAGTGGCCTTTTATTGTGAAAAATGTCTAAGCCACGCCTATTTTCAAGCATTTTGATCGATGAGTAAGTAGAACTCGTTCACCGGTGAGCACAGTGCGGCAGCCCGGGCACGGTGAGGTCAGTGAGGACACCCGGTCTCGGTGAGCACAGTGCGGGAGCCCGGTCTCGGTGAGCACAGTGCGGCCCCTGGTCTCGGTGAGCGCCTGCCCGGTGTGCGGAGCTCAGGAATGTGAAGCACCACATCAATACGTAAATAAATGATCTATTATTATTATCTTTTAATTAGTATAATTCATGAGGATTGACAAATACAAACAAACTATAACATTGACCTGATAATCATATATTATCTATGTTTCTAATATGACAAGGCTCACATATTATTATTGCACGCATTTAATTCAAGTAAATCACTTGTATTTTATGTGAAATGATGCTATATTTAACCAGTGATTGTCAGCTCAATCACACCTTTAGACATAGTTTTAAAGTTCGCGCACGTAAAGCAACAGCTCAAAAACACGCTGCAGTTTACTTAACGCAACAAAACATGACGGAGCATTTCTGTCCCGGAGCAAGACCGTATTTCATTCATAATGTACTCATCGTGGGCTGATGAGGAATCAGAATGTGAAGTGTGGTCAGAGACAGAGCTGCTCCCGCGTGCGTGAGAACTGAGACCAGATCCAGACCGGATCAGTGACTTTCACCGTGAGCACCATAGGCAAGGGGTGAGTCCCGGAGCAAGACCGTATTTCATTCATAATGTACTCATCATGGGCTGATGAGGAATCAGTGCGGCAGCCTGGTCACGGTGAGCTCAGTGCGGCCCCTGGTCCCGGTGAGCTCAGTGCGGCCCCTGGTCTCGGTGAGCGCCTGCCCGGTGTGCGGAGCTCAGGAATGTGAAGCACCACATCAATACGTAAATAAATGATCTATTATTATTATCTCTTAATTAGTATAATTCATGAGGATTGACAAATACAAATAAACTATAAAATTCACCTGATAATCATATATTATCTATGTTTCTAATATGACAAGGCTCACGTATTATTATTGCACGCATTTAATTCAAGTAAATCACTTGTATTTTATGTGAAATGATGCTATATTTAACCAGTGATTGTCAGCTCAATCACACCTTTAGACATAGTTTTAAAGTTCGCGCACGTAAAGCAACAGCTCAAAAACACGCTGCAGATTGTTTACTTAACGCAGCAAAACATGACGGAGCATTTCTGTCCCGGAGCAAGACCGTATTTCATTCATAATGTACTCATCAGGGGCTGATGAGGAATCAGAATGTGAAGTGTGATCAGAGACAGAGCTGCTCCCGCGTGCGTGCGAGACACGGGGACATGCTTATGGTTTGAGACCTGAGACCAGATCCAGACCGGATCAGTGACTTTCATCGTGCGCACCATAGGCACGGGCTGAGTCCCGCGTGTTTTTTGGGTCTCGTGTCCCATACATTTCATACCGGTCTTTCACTGGGGAACCGAAGGCTACAACAGTGGTGGGCAAACCATGGTCCGCGGCCCAGATATGGCCCGTTGGAGCTCTCATCTCTCCTCTCTTTACATACAGTGCCTCTCAAAAATTTGAATTCAGCTTGAACTTTTGTGAACTTTTTATTGAAAGTTCACACACAAGTAACAGACAACTGTGAAGCAAAAGTAAAATTATCATGATTCTGTTATTATTTTTTAAATAATTTGGGCCTGCACAAGTATTCATTATACAGAATGAGTTAATACTTTGTGGAACCCCGTTTTCCTGCAATAACATATGACAGTATTTTGGGGTATGACAAATATGCACTAGAGACAGATTGTTTGTACGTTTTTTTCTCACATGAATAAACACTTGTTTAGTTCACTATCTGCTAATAAATACTAGAGAGACTGTTGGGAGTTTTGCAGAGGTTAGTCTAAACTGTATTCATGATAGAAACACTACTCAAAAGTAGATCCCTATATTACAGAGGTCCATAACACACAACAGATCATCTGTTTTTGTGGGGAACGCAGCAGCTTCTCTAAATTGTAATAATCTATTTTCATTTGTTATCTCATTCTTCTGATTTTACTATACTAGAGAGGCCCAGGACACACACTTCAGGTCTGCTTTTCTGTGGGGACCGCAGCAGCGTCTCTAAGCTGTAATAATAATGTCTTTGGAGTCTTGTGTGTGCATCTTTCTGGGTTTACTATACTAGAGAGGACCATGACAAACACTTCAGGTCTGCATTTTGTGGGGATACCAGCAGCTTCTCTAAGCTGTAATAATAATGTCTTTGAAGTCTTATGTGTGCATCTTTCTGGGTTTACTATACTAGAGAGGACCATGACACACACTTCAGGTCTGCATTTTGTGGGGGCCGCAGCAGCTTCTCTAAGCTGTAAATCAGGCATGTCCAAACTCAGGCCTGGGGGCCAAATGCGGCCCTTAGTGTCATGTTATGTGGCCCTCTGCCTCGCTAACCCAAAGTGGTTTATGAGATCATAAACACAAGTTCACTGTGTCATCCAGCCAACTTCAGCTCAGACAGTATTGACTCGTTCTAAAGCCCAGTGCCAAATTCAGTTGTTATTTGTACATACGGTGCTGACATGGTATTTGATGGTGTCTCAAACTTCCGTTAAAGATGCTAATGTAGCTGGTGAGATGGTAAACATGTGTCATTCAGCCAACTTCAGCTCTGTTATAGATCATTTTAAATATAAGTCAAGACAGTTTTTCAGTCTGAAGTGTCGGCCCCTGAACTAGTCTGGTGAACTAATGTGGCCCTCTTACTAAAAAGTTTGGACACCCCTGCTGAAAATAATAATGTCTTTGAAGTCTTGTGTGTGCATCTTTCTGGGTTTACTATACTAGAGAGGACCATGACACACACTTCAGGTCTGCATTTTGTGGGGACCACAGCAGCTTCTCTAAGCTGTAAATAATAATGTCTTTGAAGTCTTGTGTGTGCATCTTTCTGGGTTTACTATACTAGAGAGGACCATGACACACACTTCAGGTCTGCATTTGTGGGACCACAGCAGCTTCTCTAAGCTGTAAATATAATGTCTTTGAAGTCTTATGTGTGCATCTTTCTGGTTTACTATACTAGAGAGGACCATGACACACACTTCAGGTCTGCATTTTGTGGGACCGCAGCAGCTTCTCTAAGCTGTAATAATTATGTCTTTGAAGTCTTGTGTGTGAATATTTCTGGTTTTACTATACTAAAGAAGTCCAGGACACACACATCAGATCCACGAATGATAAGCAGAGTTTAGTCTAAACTGAATTTATAACGTAATTCTGGGTATTGCTTTTTTATATTTTACTTTTTCTTCCAGATTGGTCAGTAATCTACTTCAATACATGTTGTAATGGGGACCACAGTGGCAGGGTTGAACTTAATTGGATATTCTTTCAAATACACTTTGAATCTCAAAGAGGAAATTGATGTAGATAGGAAGAATTCTACATTGTAACTTTACCACAGAAGAGGTTGTTAATTGATGGTATCCCTGAGTGTTGTATCAAACATTGTTGGTACTATGGTCTCTTTTGTCTTTAGGTGGAGGAGAACCAGGAATCTTGACCCACTTTGCTGAGGGCAACATGTCAACAAGATACTCAGCATTCAGAAAGCCTTGACAAGGTAACTGTTTTATTTAAAACATGTTTTTGGAAGGTTTGATTTGAACATTCTCAGCTTGAAAGCATAAATACCACCGTTGCTTTCAATTGTCTCAGATTACTCGACATACAACACACAAGAAACAACACTCATTTAGTTCACCGTCTGCAAGTACATACTGAAGATATCCGTAATACACACATGTTTGGTCAACTGTTGTAGGGACTGCAGAGTCATCCAAACTGTATCCTTGACACTACTCAAAACTAGATTCTGGGTTTACTATACTAAAGAGACCCAGGACACACACGTCAGATCCACTGATGTTGAGGGAACTGCAGAGTTTTGCTTTTTTCATAGTTTACTAGAACTTAATTGGATATTATTCAAATACACTATGTATCCCATTGATTATTTACACTATACGGATATGACCTACTTTGGTTTAACTAATGTTATTGTTTACTTGAATAGACCCGGTGGAGGTTGATATTGACAGTGACACTATAATAACTTGGTATAAAAAGTTACGCAATGCTTTTTGTTGTTCTGTCTATTGTTACATATTCCCTGAAAAAATAGCTATTGGGTTGGAGTGGCAATGGTGTACTTGCAGCCTTGCCTAATCTTAGCCACACAAAATATTTTATTAATGGGCTTCATCTAAAATTGTCTTTAAAGTGTGTATGTCTTCCAGAAAGACAAGACACATACTCTGACTGAGGAGGAAGCTGTAGATCTTGATCTTGATGAGGACAATTACACAATTGAGTCTGAAAAAGCTTTACAATGAGCTCAAATTCACCAGTTAAAAAGGAATTTATAAAAGTACGAAGTCCAGTTTAAATACTGTGTAATGTTATTTGTGGCTAATTCTGTCTACTCTATTCCTCAGTCCACATGTCAACCATGAGAAGGTGGCAGGAGGAGGAGATTAATGTTATGGAGAAGCACGTGATGGTCCTTCATAACCTCCTGCTGTGTTCCGGGAAAAAGGAACTACGATAAGTGTTTCTAACTTGAAAATGTAACACTCTAAGAGATTGTTTGAAAATGTGTCTAGTCTCTGTTGGACTTGTCTAGTCTTGTTCTTAAAACATTGTTTATGTTTTAAGCACAAAGACTGATTTAATTATTGGCACTCCTGATAACGTTATGTTACCCAAACACTGTTATAGTTCTGGAGACTAAACACAGAATTGCAGTAAGGCATTGTTTCACTCAATAAATGTAAAATGAATCACTTGCTTTCCTGTTACTTAAGAGATTTACTCAACTTCACTTAAAGGTATCTAAAGCATCTTGACTCCATGTTTGAATGTAACTAAAAATAGCTTAAAATGTACAGTGTGTATGAGTGGATCTAAAAGGCCTTTAAAACTAGACTGTGTTTGAGTGGATCTAAAAGGCCTTTAAAACTAGACAGTGTGTATGAGTGGATCTAAAAGGCCTTTAAAACTAGACTGTGTTTGAGTGGATCTAAAAGGCCTTTAAAACTAGACTGTGTTTGAGTGGATCTAAAAGGCCTTTAAAACTAGACTGTGTGTTGGAGTGGATCTAAAAGGCCTTTAAAACTAGACTGTGTGTTGGAGTGGATCTAAAAGGCCTTTAAAACTAGACTGTGTGTTGGAGTGGATCTAAAAGGCCTTTACAACTAGACTGTGTGTTGGAGTGGATCTAAAAGGCCTTTAAAACTAGACTGTGTGTTGGAGTGGATCTAAAAGGCCTTTAAAACTAGACTGTGTGTTGGAGTGGATCTAAAAGGCCTTTACAACTAGACTGTGTGTTGGAGTGGATCTAAAAGGCCTTTAAAACTAGACTGTGTGTTGGAGTGGATCTAAAAGGCCTTTAAAACTAGACTGTGTGTTGGAGTGGATCTAAAAGGCCTTTAAAACTAGACTGTGTGTTGGAGTGGATCTAAAAGGCCTTTAAAACTAGACTGTGTTTGAGTGGATCTAAAAGGCCTTTAAAAACTAGACTGTGTGTTGGTGTATGTGTAAAAGTAGCTAAAAACCTGACGGTGTGTATGTGTGGGACTAAAAGTAGCTAAAAACCTGACAGTGTGTATGTGTGGGACTAAAAGTAGCTAAAAACCTGACAGTGTGTATGTGTGGGACTAAAAGTAGCTAAAAACCTGACTGTGTGTATGCGTGGGATTAAAAGTAGCTAAAAACCTGACAGTGTGTATGTGTGGGACTAAAAGTAGCTAAAAACCTGACAGTGTGTATGTGTGGGACTAAAAGTAGCTAAAAACCTGACAGTGTGTATGTGTGGGACTAAAAGTAGCTAAAAACCTGACAGTGTGTATGTGTGGGACTAAAAGTAGCTAAAAACCTGACAGTGTGTATGCGTGGGACTAAAAGTAGCTAAAAACCTGACAGTGTGTATGCGTGGGACTTAAAGTAGCTAAAAACCTGACAGTGTGTAAGTGTGGGACTAAAAGTAGCTAAAAACCTGACAGTGTGTATGTGTGGGACTGAAAGTAGCTAAAAACCTGATAGTGTGTAAGTGTGGGACTAAAAGTAGCTAAAAACCTGACAGTGTGTATGCGTGGGACTAAAAGTAGCTTAAAACTTGACAGTGTGTATGTGTGGGACTAAAAGTAGCTAAAAACCTGATAGTGTGTAAGTTTCGGCATCACAAGTATAGCAATACCTGTTAAGTTCCCAGAAGTATAGTAACAATCTGGTGTGGGACATTGTTTGTGAAATCTTGGATTTTGACGTGATATTACTGTTCAGGACCTCCAGGGGGCCATGCCTGATTTTTTTTGCTGCTGTAAACCCTACAGAAAGGCTGGGTCCCACAATGCATGTCCTGGTCTGGTGGTCCCACGAGATGATAAAGACAAGTATGTGTGTGTGTGTGTGTGTTTGTTTTCTGGTTTACGAGGCCGATTTTCAAGACTTTTCTCCGAGTAAGGAGGACCCTCCGGTTTAGGAGGACAATTTGCTGTCCTCATAAAAATTACATTCTAAATCGTTTTCTATGCATTTTTTAATGCCTAAAAAGTGGTTTTCTCAAAAGTCTTTTTAATCCAGAAACCTGAGAAAAGTGGTAAATTTGTGTGTCCGCCACTGCCCCTAGTGGTGGGTTTCTCCCGCGCGGGAAAAAGGGGAATTATACACAACCGCGGGAAAATATACACAACCACACACAAAGTCAGCACTGCGCATGCTCCGTGGGGAAGGACAGCAGAGCGTCTTTTCTGTCAAGGGGAAGTTTATGCATTTCTGCAGTAATTATACATCCACAAAGGAGACAGGAGAGGAGCAGGGACATGGAGAGACACCCGCACGGAGGTAGGAGAGTGTTTTCACTGTCACCACATAGCACAAAGCAGCCTAGTTTAGCAGCAGAGCTAACGCTAAAGCTAACGCGAATGTGTGCTGCAGCCACTTGTTCAGAAAATCTACAGCAACTATATTGTCCACAGAGGAGACAGGGCCGTGGTGAGTCAATACTGGGAAGAGTTACAGCTGGCCACAGGTTGTTTAGCACAAAGTATCCTAGATTAGCTGCGGAGCTAAGTGGCTAACGCCCTGTATAGCTGCGGAGCTAAGTGGCTAACGCCCTGTTTATGCATACTACATAATGCCTATTGCTTTTATAAGGCCAGTTAGAAGACTACAATTATAAGAACAATAGAGATAAGACATTTGAGGTATTTATTATGATGCACTTTTTGCAGAAATCATACAAATAGGCTTTGATTATCCATTAATGGCAAAGGGCATAGCATAATCCTTATGCCATAAAATTATAAGTGTCCCATTTAGCCCACATAGTCCATAACCTCCAACATCTGCTTCCACTGGGATGTGAGTGACTTGATGATGAAATAACAATAGTATAATAATCACTAGTACCTTCCATTTGCATGGAAATGCTTGTTAATTAAAATGTTTTAGTTTCATTAAATTATATACATCTGTATTCTTAATAGAAATAAAATAATAGGCCTACTGTGTTCCTTAAAGCTTAAAAGAGATGTGTTCCCCGGTAAGGGGCTGTTTTGGCGATAGTATGTTATTACTATAGGGTATATTATATAACCTGCATGTATTAGGTCTATAATAGTCTATTAGAATTAATATAATTTAATCATTCATAATGTGCTCCTATGGACTCTCCACCTGCAGGAGGATCAGTGAGGGGCTGGTGCTCTGGGTGCAGCTCTGACTGGGGAAGAAAATGAATGGATATTTCTCCCACAAGTAAGTAAGTAAGTAAGTACACAGCCATGCAGGTGAACTGCAGTGTTACAACAACACTGTCTAAACCAGGACTGATTTAACTTGAGAGTTTTGATTTGAGCTTCAAAACACTGCTTCAAACTTGATGACTTGGGAAATGTTTTGTGAATGTTAAGAGGACAGAAGTAATTTACTGTTTGAAAAACTATGAGAGGCCTATGAGAGGAACCAGAGAGTCGAGTCCTGCAGCGGGACATCAGGAAGTCCTCTTTTGAGGTTAGCTTATTTATGGCTGTTTGTTAAAGAAATAAGTCCCATTGTTTTACAATAGCTAATAAAAGAAGTATTCGTCCCCACTGTGGGACAAATAAAGGAATTCTTATATTATCTTAAGTAGGTCAAAGCATCATCACAGTCCAAAGGCATAGTTTTAAAGGTTCCATATTACGCTTTTCTTCATATTTCACAGTCCATCCTATGCACATGTGTGATAATGATTTGACTTGTGAGATTATAGCCATCTCTTCATCACAGAAACAACATGATTACAGAGATCCTGAGCATTACAATGATTTATAACCTATGTTGGCAGAGCTGATGTTGGCTAGATGACATTGAAAATGTGTATATTGTTACATATCAAGACAGAGAGGGCCCCAATAGGCCCCAGACCTCAATTTGGGTATGGCTGGTGAAGATGATGTGTATTTTTCTGTTCCTCTTGTTTAGACACAGCTCAGTGGTATAAGCATCATTGCTGGACAACATGTTGCAGAGTTTGGTGACCACACAGTGACTTGGACCCTGATGTTCTCTCTGCAGACTTATCCAGAGGTAATACCTTACTTAAAGAAGCTATACCCGATTTTTTTTCTAAGTAGTTCATAAAAATGCTTTTTACTACATACAAGTTGTATCATAATACATCATTTAATTGAAAACTTGAGGTCATTGATTCCACTGTGTATGAAATTCAGGCAGTGAAAAGTGCTGAGTAGAGTCTGAGCGGGACTCGTTCTCCTCCACTCACAGAACGAGCAGTGAACAGCCTGTGTCCTCTAGCCTCTACAGCCTGTGTCCTCTAGCCTCTACAGCCTGTGTCCTCTAGCCTCTACAGCCTGTGTCCTCTAGTCTCTACAGCCTGTGTCCTCTAGTCTCTACAGCCTGCGTCCTCTAGTCTCTACAGCCTGTGTCCTCTAGTCTCTACAGCCTGTGTCCTCTAGTCTCTACAGCCTGTGTCCTCTAGCCTCTACAGCCTGTGTCCTCTAGTCTCTACAGCCTGTGTCCTCTAGTCTCTACAGCCTGTGTCCTCTAGCCTCTACAGCCTGTGTCCTCTAGTCTCTACAGCCTGTGTCCTCTAGTCTCTACAGCCTGTGTCCTCTAGTCTCTACAGCCTGTGTCCTCTAGTCTCTACAGCCTGTGTCCTCTAGTCTCTACAGCCTGTGTCCTCTAGTCTCTACAGCCTGTTTCCTCTAGTCTCTACAGCCTGTGTCCTCTAGTCTCTACAGCCTGTGTCCTCTAGTCTCTACAGCCTGTGTCCTCTAGTCTCTACAGCCTGTGTCCTCTAGTCTCTACAGCCTGTGTCCTCTAGTCTCTACAGCCTGTGTCCTCTAGCCTCTACAGCCTGCGTCCTCTAGCCTCTACAGCCTGTGTCCTCTAGTCTCTACAGCCTGTGTCCTCTAGTCTCTACAGCCTGTGTCCTCTAGCCTCTACAGCCTGTGTCCTCTAGTCTCTACAGCCTG